GGAATTAAAAGATCATTATGCAAACAAGATCTGCAAGTCCTGTAGCCACAGGCGCTACTAGGAAACAATATTCCGCTGAAGAAATCGACATTTTAACGCAAAAAGTAAATGAAAGGAAGAGACAACTAAGGGAACAAGCGGAAGCCTTACAAGTTAAGGCCGAACACATAGCAAAGATGCAGGAGGAAATAAACCAAAGGGAAACAGCAGGAACTCAAGAACAACCCGCTGTAGAACAATTGATGGCCTCTATGCATACAATTACCAGTTGCATTGAAAGAATAAACTCTAGACTTGCGAATTTGGAAGTCTCTCAAAGAGAAGGACAGCAAGAACGACAATATGCTCGCGAAGTACGATCATACTCTCAACCAACTTCCCAACATTTTGATATTATGGATCAACCTTTTCCAATACGTTTGAAGGATGCTATAGATATTGTGCCTCGATTTGATGGTCACAAAATGTCAGTCTTCTCTTTAGCAAGATCTGCGAACGAGCCTTCGATCTAATACCGGCCTATCATGAATATCATTTGGTTCAACTAATTATAAACAAACTACAGGGACATGCTTATTCAGCCATCGAAGGGATAGAATTTCATACTGTGGTCGAACTAACAAAAAGATTAAAATCAATATTTGGACCAAATAAATCGGTAGACCAGTATAGAGGAGAATTAGGAAATATTTATATGAAGCAAAACGAAAATATATTCGATTACATTGCAAGGGTACAGGAGTAACGTACCGCAATTATAGACGGAGAGTCAGACTTATCTGGGAATATAAGTGAAAGAAGCAGAGATGCTATCGAGATAACTACTAAATAGTTTTATTAACGGGCTTCCTTCCGACCTATTAGTACGTGTAAAATTAGAACGACCGAAAAACTTCGAAGAAGGAATAAGTATAGCAATACAATTATCCAAGACCATAGAAGCTGAAAACGTTCGCAAAAGAACATCATTCCGTCTAAATTTCCAGCCACGTGCTGATCCTCCAAATAATGTCGGAAATTTCGCTCGTCAAAATCCTGTAAATAATAATGTTAATAATGGATATCGATCTGGATACCGCCCTAATAACGGTGCTGCAAATTCACAACCACCATATCCTGCTACATCAGCCAAAGAACCTCCACAGAACTTCCAAACAAAAGTCTGCCGCTATTGTAAGACTCCTGGACATTTGATTGAGGAGTGTCGTAAACTAGCCTATAGAAGATGTCTAGAGCAAAACCAATCCGGAACTTCGGGAAACGCACAGGGCGTTCCGTTGAGAACAGACGTCCGCCGGAACGACCCGCAGCCAGGACGTCCAACATACCTTATACAAAAGAAAGTCAATGTAACGGCCCCTCAAGGGACATTGTCACAAATCACAGAATCTGCCAAATAAATGATACGAAACAATCCATGGAACTACCGACGGTGACTCTAACTTCTATCGATTTAATAAACGATTGCAAATTCATGATTGACTCCGGATCTGGACTCAATCTCATCAAACAAAAATGTTTAAAATCTACTGTTGTTCTCGATCAATCTAATACATTATGCTTACAAGGAATCACATCTGAAACTATTATCACTCTAGGAGCTGTCTCAATAAGCATACTTGGAAAATTGTCCGAATTCTACGTCATTTCTGATTCTATTGGATTCGCGCAAGACAGATTCTTAGGGAACAGATTCCTGAGGGAACGTTCCGTTATATTAAACTATAAAGACAATTACCTACAGTATGAAGATGCAAAGATTCCATTCTCAAATTCAAACGCAATATATCTAAGGAAGAGAACAGTCACTCCTTGCTCCTTCTACATCACTAATCCCGATAAACAAAATGGATACGTGCCTCGTCATACATCGGTCGATGGCATATATTTCGGCGAAGCTCTTGTCACTAATAATAATGGAAAGGTTTATATGCCTGTTTTCAATACTTCCGAGGAAGAAATAATTCTCAATGTTCCATTTATAGAATTACAAGATTTCGATACTTGTAATAATAATTCCTCCGGAACCCTAGGGTCTTCCGAAGGATCGACTCAGTCACTGAATCTCAATAATACTATTTCTCTATTTCTATCAGCCCTTGTGGAACCTCTCTAAAAAAATATAGATAATCCTCTATATTTCCATCAAACACAATCCTCATATACTGATAGAACATCAGATATTTTGCAACTTCTTCGTCTCGAGCATCTAAACTCCGAGGAGTCAGAAAATGTTCGACGAATAATTTCCAAGCATTCCGATAGATTTCATCTTCCGAGTGAAGCCCTCCAATCGACTAGCGCCGCTCAACACTACATTCCAACTCACAACGACGCACTGTCCACGTGAAACAATATTGATTTCCTCCTATTCATAAAGAAGAAATCAATAGACAAGTGAACGAATTATTATCTTCAGATTTGATCGAACCATCTACATCACCTTATAATTCTCCAATATGAATCGTACCGAAAAAGCCTGATTCCTTAGGGAACAAGAGATGGCGAATGGTGATTGATTACAGAAACCTTAACGAAAAAACCATAGGAGACGCATATCCTTTACCTAACATAACGGATATATTAGACCAACTAGGGTCTGCTAAGTATTTTTCAATATTGGATTTGGCCTCTGGATTTCACCAGATACCCATGGCATCACAAGACGCACACAAGACCGCATTCTCCACACCATATGGACATTACCAATTTAAAAGGATGCCGTTTGGACTTAAAAATGCTCCTGCAACATTTCAAAGACTAATGGATAATGTACTTTCTGGATTACAAGGCAACGAATTATTTGTCTATATGGATGACATTGTTATGTACGCGAGGTCTTTACAGGAACACGAGAATAAATTCGAAAAATTAATGTAAAAGCTAAGAGCCGCTAACTTAAAATTGCAGCCAGACAAGTGCGAATTTTTACGACGAGAAGTCATGTATCTAGAACATATAATCGGATCTGACGGAGTCAAACCAGATCCAGCTAAAATAAAAGCAATTATGAATTTTCCAACTCCAAAGAATCCAAAAAATATCAAACAATTTTTAGGACTAGCTGGTTATTATCGAAGATTTATACCTAATTTCTCCGGGATTGCAAAACCTCTAACCGATCTTTTGAAGAAAGACAAGAAATTCGACTAGACAATAAAACAAACCGAAGCATTTGATATTTTAAGAAATTCATTATGTTCAGAATCAATTTTACAATATCCAGATTTTTCCAAGCCATTCATATTAACTACCGACGCATCTGGATATGCAGTAGGAGGAGTACTCAGTCAAGGCACCATAGGAGAAGATTTACCCATTGCCTATACTTCTCGAATTTTAAATTCAGCAGAACAAAATTATTCTATTATAGAAAAAGAATGCTTAGCAATTATTTACTGTGTGAATCACTTTAGACCATACTTATACGGAAGATTATTTATTATCATTACTGACCATAAACCACTAGTATGGTTACATTCGATAAAAGATTCTTCCTCACGGTTATGGAAATGGAGAACAAAATTATCAGAATATCAATATGAAATTCAGTATAAGAAAGGAACTCTAAATTATAATGCTGATGCCTTATCCAGAAATCCACCTGTAGATGCAATAGCGCCCTTATTCCTTATAGATGAACGAGAATATTCTTCCGACGAATCTATATTTTCACATAGACCTCAACGGTCACCAGGAAAATCTAATCTGCCCGAACAACGACCTACAAGATCTGAGGACAAGATCAAGGAAATACCAAAGCACGTAGGAGAATTGCTGTATTAACAGATCAAGGAACAAATTTTCTGCATTATTTAGACAATTAACGAAAAAATTTCGTATTCAACATTTTAAAACCACAGCATATTATCCTCAAATGGATCATTAGAGCGATCACATCATGTGCTAACGGAGTATTTAAAAACTCAGATAGATAAGCAAACTGGGACGAATACATCAAACTCGCTATGTTCTCATACAATACCAGCGTTCATGAAGGAACCAATTATTCCCCATATGAACTAGTATTCGGACGAATAGCTCGTCTACCTTCTGCTCATCCTATCATTGAAGAGAATGTAGAACCAACATATCAAGATTATATAATTACTCTTTTTAATAAATTAACCTTAATAAATTAGACCTTCAGATGTCGGCTAGACAAAATTTAATTCAAGCTAAAGAAAGAAGCAAACGATATTATGACCGAGCAATAAAACAACAAACCTTCCAAGTAGAAATGCAAGTATTCCTATTGAAAGAACCACAGAAAGGAAAATTTTCTGACCAATATACCGGACCTTATGAAATTATCGAAATTTTACCCTCCAATAATGTCAAACTTAAAATTGGAAAGCACACAAAAGTTGTGCACATGAACAAGCTTAAAATGTCTCACCTCCAGCCAGGATGAATTAATAAAATTACAATCTTTGTTACAGATGCTTTGGCATAGGAAACCAACTCAACCGTAGCCTCAGTCAAAAGACCTGCATCTCATAAAGGACAATTTCTTATTCGCACATTGTGCATACGCAAAGGGAGCTATCTGTCTCCTGGATGAGACAAATTTATGCAATTGTGTTACTCCCAACTCAAAACCAATATTATTCGCCAACAATATCGGCCTTTAGACCAGCACTTGTTCATCAACAGCCACGTCGCAAGAGACAGCTGCTGTTCCTCCTGTGGCGTCGTAGTCATCGCGGCCAGGCCCATTGATGATTGCCTATTGTGCGTTCGGAAAATAAGTGAACTTATTCGTTCATTAGAAACTTCGTCAATTCACGTTGATTGCTTAAGATATCCGCTAGCCCTTAAAATTTTCGAAGAAGAATAAAGTGTAATATCATACATACGTATATAAATATATGTATATCTTTCTTCATGATCATTCTTACTCTTCAATTTTCATTCTATTAGCCTTCCTTCTGAGACCATGTCCTACGATTCTCGACGCTTTCTCTCGCTTCTGCGCTCGCCGCGGTCTACCGTCCACTATGTATTCTGATAACGGTATCACTTTCGCGAGAGTCGACACCGAATTATCAAAGGCTTATCAGAACGCAATGCGTAATCCCGATTTCCAGAGCAAAATTGCAACTGATAATGTTTGCTGGCAATTCATCCCTCCCCATGCCTCGCATTTCGGCGGGCTTTGGGAAGCCGGAGTTCGCAGTGTCAAGCATCACTTGCGACGTATTCTGGGCTCTCACACTCTAACCTACGAGGAGTTTTCTACTCTCCTCTGCCGCATGAGGCTTGCCTCAATCCTCGACCTCTCGGTCCACTCACCGATACTCTGGACGACTACAACCCCCTTATACCGGGTTTTAATCGGTTCATCAATCGCGGTGAATCCCGAACTGTCTATTTTATCCGTTAACGAAAATCGCCTTTCTCGCTGGCAATTGATTCGTCAATTGCGCTTACGGAGCGGTTTTGGAAAATTTGGCAGAGTGATTACGTCAATACTCTGCAGCAACGAACAAAATGGAAGCAAGTGCAGCCCTCCGTGAAGATTGGCACAATGATCTTAATCCGCAACCCCTTACTTTCGCCGTGCAAGTGGGAATTAGGCCGGATCACGCAATGCCATTCCGGCTTCGACGGATACGTTCGCGTAGTCATTGTGCGCACCGCGCATTCCGAGTACAAACGACCGATAGTTAAATTATGCATTTTGTCCATCGACATCGAATATCCGGCGAATAAACCGCCTAGCGACAATTAAAGTTGCCGAAATCGCAAAATCGGAGTACGCAAAATGTATATATGTAAATATATGTAACTATGTAAATAGATAATTGTAACTATGTAAATATGTAAATATGTACAAATGTAAATATTTAAAATCGAAGAAGTATCTAAAGCGCCTCGATGGCGAAACTCTCTCGTCTCGGGCGGCAAAGATAATGTAATTGTTGCCAAATTATTCCGTCACGGCGGACGGCATCAGAAAAAGCCATTATTTCGAAATTATAATTTCGAGGCAGGCAGTATGTTCAGGATTCGCCCTGAATTTCTAGCGAAAATATCACCCCCGGTAATACTGGCGCCATCCGTGCGCGCCAAAGCGAACTCACGAAATAATTCCGTACGGTATTTTTTCAAAATCAGCCAGGATCCGCATGATCGCGGAATAATACATGATCCTGGCCAATTAGGCAATCGGAAAATCACGCGATTCTACGTGCTTGAACCGGATAGGCTCAAATCGGATCATCCGATGCGCCATCAAATTCTTATTATCCGGGAGAAAGGCTCTCTCCCAAGCAGTCTTCGTCTAGATCTTACCGAGTCATAACGGAATCGTGGAAAGTTATAACAAATCATTATCAAAAGTCATTGTCGGATTATCGAGCAGCGAGAACCAAGATTTTGCAAGCGCGTTTGAAACAGTGGAACGCGCAAATCGCGATTATAGTTAATAGATGAACTTCTGTAACAGATATCGCGACGGATCAACGGACAATTCAGTGAACGATAATCGATTCCGTTCAATACGTGAACGTTCTGAGCGCGAGTGCCGGGATTCGTCTGAGCGCCTCCACTCTAAGTCAGAGGTGGAGCCTGTCTCTCATTGAGCCTCCGTTCATTCGTCGAACATTGGAGAATGTCGTTTCGCTCGCTCTCACAGACAGCCCGATAGAGCGCTGTCTCTCTCTATCTCGCGCGTGTAGCCGTGGAAAATGCGGTCTCGCTTGCCCTCACAGACAGCCCGATAAAGCGCTGTCTCTCTCTACCTCGCGCGTGCAGCCATGGAAAGTGCGGTCTCGTTCGCCCTAACGCGAACCGTGAATAGTGCGGTCTCGCTCGATCACGCGGACGACTGAATGAGTGCCGTTTCGCTCGCTCTCACAGACAGCCCGATAGAGCGCTGTCTCTCTCTATCTCGCGGACGGCCGCAATAAAGCCGTCTCGCTCTCTCTCGAAGATAGCCGTTGGAGCGCTGTCTCTCTCAGTTTCGTGCGTGCACTCGTGAATAGTGCAGTCTCGCTCGATCTCGCGGACGGCCGCAATAAAGCCGTCTCGCTCACTCTCGCAGACAGCTGATTGAACGCTGTCTCTCTCAATCTCGTGCATGCACCCGTGAATCGTGCGGTCTCGCTCGCTCTCGCAGATAGCTGATTGAACGCTGTCTTTCTCAATCTCATGCGTGCACCCGTGAATCGTGCGGTCTCGCTCGCTCTCGCAGACAGCTGATTGAACGTTGTCTCTCTCAATCTCGTGCGTACAACCGTGAATTGTGCGATCTCGCTCGCTCTCGCGAACGGCCGATAGTGCGCCGTCTCGCTCGCTTTCATGCGAACAGCTGATCACGCGTTGTATCGTATATTCAGTGAACAATTGTATAGTGCGATCTCGCCTATCGAGTACGAATCTCGACGTGCTCAAATATCCGAAATAGAGTCGCATACACATCGAAAGCTCATAAACTCTGTACATATCGTGTATTTTACGCAATAAACTTATCACCACTCTTGTGTGGCTGTCACTGTGTTACAATCAAAGGAACAATTTTACGTTATTGCATCCCGTCACTCATCTAGTGCGAAATCACGTTATTTTGCAAACTCGCGATGCCCTCTCGGGTGTGTCCCGGCAAAACAAAATCGCAACTCACAGGTGCGATCCCGAACAATATATATATATATATATATATATATATATACATGTATGTATATTAGAATTATATGTATATACCCGTGCAAGAAAGAGTCGCCTTCAATTTTTTATTAAAATATCTATAATAACGATAATAATAATTTGTTTCACTGCATATACATAAGTATACGCAAATTATACAAGTATATACAAATTATTTTAATATCACAATAATCAAAATATTACAATAATCAAAAAGAGAAATAAATTGGATATAGATATAGAAGGATACAAATTGGATATGTCAGATTCTGAAATAATAATACAAATACCCAGCCTGGCGAATAATGACTTAATGATTCTGCCAAATATAATAACAACATTGAAAAATAACTTTTTATTTGCGAAGCCAGGTATTAGTCTCATTTCAAATTTGCTGAAAAGAACTTTATTCAATACTTTTTTTATCTTTACAAATTTTTAAACTTTATTTATATTATACAAAAGTGATATATGAATTAATTTTTTTTAAGTGAAAATCTATTGCTAGAAACTTTGTTATATTTATAATTAGTAGAACTATAATTTTGAACGTAGAATGCATTTGTAGAAAACATTTTATAAAGAATGCAAAATAAAAATGAATTTTTAAAAAAGTTGTATTTCTATTTGTATTGTCATTATTGAGCATGACGTAAAGATCGCAATCACAGTTGAAACAATTGCATAAATCTTGGACTAACAGGTCTTATCACGAGGAAATCTACATGATGTAGTTTCCTTAAACTGAAAATCATTATGTTTTTGTGACGTCCTTTTTATTATTATATTTATTTTTATTATTATATTTATGTTCGACGTATATTTATGGACGTCTATTGTTGCGAATGATAAAAATCAATCTTACTTGTAAATTAAATTTTGGTATTCTGTGTGTATGTATATGTATCAAGAGACACGGTGTCTTGAAGTCGAGTCATCATTACTCAGGCGCAAGACACACCGTGTATCTTTACGCGAATGGCTAAGTTGCGAGTAATGCATATTATCGGTTCTCAATAACCGCTGAATCGATCAAATTCTTATTACATTTAATCAATTGCTTGGGTTCGATTTATATAAGGAAAGTGTCTTTATTTTTGCTCTATGTGCTCTATAAGCAAAAATATAACGATGCAAAGTTTCAATGTGAAACTTTTTAATTAAGAAACGTCACCGTCGTGGTAGTGGCTAGCTATATTACATTTTTTACATATTTTTCTTGTACGGTTCGCACGTTTGACGAAAGAGACGCTGTGTTCTCGTGACGATGAGAGATGTATAATTTTTTTATCATGCGAGAAATTACCGACTGTAATTGGAATGAATTGATCGGTACATAGTATACTTTCCGATTTACGCATGATGCGCATGAAGTGACAGAAAATGTATAGTTCATGTCACGCATATTATACATTTTGATGTCAATTATTTGAATCGACTATGCATATCGAATGTAATACTTATTCAAATAATTGCTACCTGTATCGATTAATTTATTGCAATTGCAATCACCCAGATAGCAATCGCACGTCATTTTGACGTTTCAAATTGGTCATTTACTGACTATTCTTGACGTCACGAATTGACGTTTTTATGACGATCTAATGTCACAGATTCCTGACATCATGTACCGCATTTTGACGTCTTTCTTTTAGCATAATAATATATTTAATAATGTTGTCGAATAAAGCACTCTCTAAAAGTGAATCAGTGTATTATCACTGAAAAACAGTAAATAATCACTGATTACAGTAATTATAAGTACAGCGCTGTAAATCAGTGATATTTTATAGAAAGTATCAGTTAATAATTTTGACTATTTCAGTAATATCTCAGTAATATTTCTTTCGTTATTGCCAGTAATATTAAACTACAATTCATCTCTTTATTTCATAAATATAATATAATAAATATAAAAATATAATATATAATATGTAACGGGCTTATTTCCGCGGATAACGGCAGTCGGTGATCGGGTTCGGTTAGGCAGGCGTGGAAATAAATACAACGCGGTTTTAGGTTAACAAAAAAATAAAGAAAATATATTCTCAAGTAAAGTGTGTACATGCACGGTTGCGTGCGTGTGCGAGGTATTGTCGCAAAAAACTCGGCGTCGTATATACAAATTGCGTTTCTGTGTGTCGGTATCGCAAAAACTCGGCGAGTTCGAGATATGCCTCGGGCGTTCGTTCGTGGGCTGGCGGCCCGCGTCGGAAATGCGCTAATAAATGAAACGCGTTTTAGGGTGGTTGCAATCGGTGCTTATGATCGACGTTGCACGGTCGGATGCACCGCGAGTTCGTGCAGCGGATAGTGAATATCCGGTGCCGATGCAACGCAGCGTTCACGGACAATAATGATTTAAAACCGATCAGCTGTTTAGTCGTCGGTCGAGGGATGCGTGACGTCACGGCGCGTGCCGGATTTTTCGAACGCTTTTTCGTATGGTGCGGGATTACTTGTAAAGCCGCGTATTTTCGTGGAAACGAATAGACGGGATTTCCCTTCGGGAAGACCGTGCTAGCGAGAACGTCCCGCTGGGGATAGCTCTCCTCTCTACCTCCGGACTGCACTGGTCGGAAATGTGACGGAAACTGGATTCGTGCGTCTGCCGAGAACTCCCGGAGAGATCGGGGAACGCCCCAATTTCTGGATGCACTTTAGAAAGGATTGCGCTTATCTTTGCGAACCCTGAGAATTCCCAGGTGTGGCGGGGTACTCCCTACCGCTGGTTTCGCTGCTTTTGGCGTCTTAGGTGAGCTTGCTCTGGCGACTTGTGCGCTGGAGAAACTCGGAAAAGAGTGATCTTTCTTCGATCGACAGGCCCTTTTTATACGGGACTAATTAGCCCGCGCCGGTGTAAAACAACGTTACCCCCGTCGAGCGGGCGCAAAACGTGATGGCTCCGTTCGTGGCGCGCGGTGGAGCCGGGCGCAAGGGGACTTAACCCGATCGTTCGGCTTTCGTCGGCCGTCTTCGGCGCGCTTCGTCATTTCGAAGCTCAATCGTACGGCTTTGTTCTTTAACGTTTAAAAATGTGGCGCTCAGCGCCCTGCCCTTGCCCAGCGGTTCTTATGCCGGACG